GCCCTGCTGAATGCAGCGTGCCCATGAGAGCAGAAAGTGACTCTGGAGAACAGTGCTGGTAAGTCCTGGCAATACCTGTGTGCCCTGTGGCCGGTGACAGCAGAGATGACAGCTCCAGGGGTGACCCATGCACAATGCCATCTCAGCACAAGATGTATTTCATCTCAGCTAGGAATTTTTTATTACATCTGCCTTGCAATTCCCTGCCCATGGTCACTGTCAACTTCCCAGGTGCCCTGTCCTTCCTCTCTTTTTGGTTTTGCTTCTCCCCTCCCAGCAAGCTCCCAGGGCAGAGACACCAGCAGTGCAGATGTAGGACACACGGACAGGCTGCATCGTGCTGCCACCCACCTCAGAACAGTGCAGGGAAGGGAGGGTTTATTTAAGCACCCAGTCACAGTCAGTGATTCTTGGCTGTTGCTCAGTCCCCCCAGCGATCAGCCTCCAGCACGCCTTCTGGTATACATATTTATGACCCCAGTTATCACTGAACAAAACCCCAGGTTGCTGTGAAAATGAATTATTTTTAATCCAAATTGCCCAGTTTACATACTTCATCCACCTCTGCTTAGCAGAACAGCTGGTGTTTACCAACTTCTCGTTACTGTTCCAAATGCCATAGGAAGATGCTGGCTGGAGAGGACCATCTTCTCCGAGATAAGATGAACTCAGGTTTATGTCTACTGCAAACTCTGCTCCTTCACATTGCTGATGAGCCTCCAGCAGAGGCAGGCTGTGCTGGAGACCAGTCTCTGCCAAAACCCAGGGTCGATGGAGATGGATAAATGAGGCAACATCCATGGACTCCAGTTACAAAACCTGGGCACTGAACTCCAAAACAGCTTTGCAGAGCCACAGTGTGCTTCTAGCAGAGGTGATGCAGCAGAATCAGCTGCGGTTGATCACTGTGGTTAAGGGAAGGGCTGGGTGGGGGTCCTTGGGACAGGAGACGTGGCTCCCACTCACACCCTGGATCTGTGCAGCGCACTGCCCAAATTCAGGCTTCCACACCAAGCACCACGTGCTTTCCCTGCCCAACTGGCAGGCTTTGACAGTGCTTAGAGAGGGTTTCTGTCCCTCGTTTGACTCATGGCATCTGAGGCATGGGGTGGAAAAAGGCTGGGTTGGAGCTGTATGGGAATAGGAAGGTCTCTCCATCCAGCCCAGCCTCCATCCAGCAGAGGCCCAGTGAAGTTTTGCAGCACCATACAGTGAAGGAAGACACTCGTTGATAATAATAATTATTATTTGGTGGTGTATTTCTGCAGGGAAGAGTAGTTTCCATGTAAATATAAATAAATCTAGCTATCTCTACACTTCTGTCTGTATCTGTATTTACTGTTATCAGCACTTCCTTTTTCCTAACACCTTGGGAGGCTCACACCGGAGCTAAGATGATCCAAGAATTATTCTTGTCATGGTATTTCCACTGTCCAAGAATGGCCATATGTTAAAGAAATCCAGTCCCTCTTTATCCCAGGCCTTAAATGGCCCCGAGGCATTCAACAAAAATGGAGTGAGAGTGCCAGTGCTGGCTCTTAGGTGGGCTTACGTCAGGACCGGTGCCCTGAGGGTTGCACTGGTGAAAGATCAGAGCAGGACAGGTTGGCACCAGGTCCAGACTTTGGCACACAGAAGCACTGAAGCCAAAGCAAGGAGGTTCCTACAGCACCCTTCACCCTTTGGAAGCGCCAGAAAGGAAGGTGCTGCTTTTAGCAGCCGTGTGAAGGCACGTGGTCCCCACCAGTCCTATTTCCAGCTTGGCTGGCTGAGAACTGAAGGAAGGAAAGCTCCTGGGACTGGGCATGGAGCAGTCACATGCAGCTCAGAAATGAGTCACAAGTGACAGAAGATAATGACACCTGGCATAAGAGGAGACTTGATCCATCCTTTCCCTTTCCCCTATTTCTTCCCCATCTGTTTGGGCTGACATTAGTGCTGGTGAAGACAGATGGACACTGGTGGCCAACACCTACTGTAGAATGAACATGTCCTTTGTTTCTACAGTCCTGCTCTTCCAATCCCCTCTTGGAGCAACATCATAGCTCTGGCCAGGCTCTGCTCCCTGCAGCATCTCAGGGTGCGTACCCCTCATGTGGTCCCTGTTGGAAGGGACCTTAAAGCTCATCCAGTCCAACCCCTGCCATGGGCAGGGACACCTCCCACCAGACCAGGTTGCCCAAAGCCCTGTCCAACCTGGCCTTGCACACCTCCAGGGATGGGGCATCCACAGCTTCCCTGGGCAACCTGTGCCAGTGTCTCACCACCCTCACAGTAAAGAATTGCTTCCTAATATCTAATCTAAATCGCTCCTCTTCCAGTTTGAAGCCATTCCCCCTTGTTCTATCACTACATGCCCTTATAAAAAGTCCCTCTCCAGCTTTCTTGAGTACACACAAACACACACACACACACACACACACACACGGGTGCTTCTTGCTGTGTCTAAAAGCCCGACAGCTCCCAGTCAGCGTGCCCTGGTAATGATGGACAATATCCCCCTCAACAGGAAGGGTGGAGGTTGGTAACCCCCTGCTTGGCTACCCTAGGACCTGAGCCATCACCTGGTGACCTCCTCTGGCACAAAGTCCCCAAATCATGTTTTTCTGCCCATGAAACTGTGCTGGCAGCTGGAGGGATGTGGTATTCTCACCCTTCCTTGGGCACAGGCCCAGGACCTGATATGCATGACTGTCTGCTCAAAGTTTCACTTTATTTCCAAGTATTATTATGGAGCTTAATTAGCCCTGGACACCCTGACCTCTCATCCAACTAGGAAAACAACTCAGCTTTGTCACAGCACATGGGAGTGGGTGGGTGAATAAGGGACACAGGAAATCTTTTATGGGACTTCCCAAGGAGCAAATATCTTTTTCGTTTATAACCCCACAACCACAAACTTGTTCGCTGTGATTTAAGAGGAAATACCTGGTTAAAAAACATGGGCTACATTCACAGTCTCTGCAAATCAGGACATATCTGTTTGACTTCATGGAGCTTAGCTGACTTAGACCAGCTGAGACACTGACCTTCTATGTTTACACAAAGCCCATTTTTTCTCACTGGTGCTAGGCAGAATGGCCTCAGGCTTGGACCTCGAAGGGTGTGGGTCTGTGGGCTCTGCCACCAAGAGGGGCAGAGATGTATTTCCCCACATATGAAAAGAAAATGGGAACTGACCTGAAAAACTGCTGAAAAGATCCTGTCCTAGTACAGTGAGCACCAGCCACCTGAACTGAGGAAAAGCAGCCTCATGGAGCAAGGCAGGAAGGTTTTGGGGACCGGTTCCCCCTGGAGCTTGCTGTATTTCAAATGGGACAAAGACTTACCTCCTCAGAGCTCAGAGCTGAGATTCCTCTGATGGCACTACAGGAATGCTTGGTAAACAAGCAGTAAACTATGCATTGCCCCGATGCCTCACAGGGATTAGAAGGGTAAATGAACCAAGCATTTGCAAAGAGCAGTGAGGAAATGGATGTTCTGCATTCAGCGTTTCCAAGCAGTGGAGCACACCAGGGATGGGGAAGGACTTGGGACAGGGTGCAATCCCCAGCTGGGTGTCTGACCACTGGCTGTCAAAGCAAAGAGATGAGCTGGAAAACTGCTCACTCCTCACTTTGCACCAGTCTGGACTGAACTCCAAGGTCCGTATTAGCCGGGAAGCAGCAGAGGCCTGCGTCAGGCTGCAAACGTGGGCATTTATTGCTCTCTTGTGGTGAATTGGGCTGTGGAGCAGAGCTGCCTGCTGGTCCCGGTGCTGGCCACCAAATCTCCGAAGAAACCTCCTCTGTGTCTCCTGCTCCCCCTGCTCGCTCCACAGAGGAGTTCTTGCTTCTCTCTAATTCTGCCTCTCACTGCTGGAAGTTTTGGTGATGTTTTGTGCCAACAATGACCCAGACACAGTCCTCCGCAGAGCAGACAGGACAGAAACCAGGTAGGAATAAATAAAAGGGTTGCTATTCAAGTTAAAACACATTTGGGTCAGGCTGAGCTGCCCTGCGGGACCCAAGGCACTCTCCTGTCCCCTTCCTAGGCAGAGCAGCTGCACTCCTGAAATGTCCTCTACCACTCAGCCCCACTGCACCACATGTTCCAGCACTGCTGCCAGGGCCTCATTCTGCTTGGATATCCAGACTTGATGTGCTGTGCTTGTGTGCAGTGCACAGCCCTGCTCCCAAAAAATGAGGGCAGGGTTCCAAGTGCTTGGTCCCTTGCCTCTTGGGGACGAGAAGACAAAACGCTGCCAGCTCCTTAAGGATGCGGTGCAGGACCTCCCCTGGGCCAGTTGTTCTGGAGTGCACATGGACCTGTGCCAGCAGCATGGCGTGACACTGCTTGATGGCTCACTGGAGTCCCCGGAGTGGTGAGCCAGTCAGACAACGTGACCACCTTCACTCAGCCACCGGGGCCGGTCCATGACACAGCCCGGCGTGCCCTCAGGCCCCCACGGGGCACCTGGGATGTTACCCAGCTTGACGTGAAGGAGGCCTTGCAGCTCCTGGTCTCCTAGCTCGGTGGCTGCAGCGAGGGCCAGCAGGAAGTAGGCTGCTGCATCCTGTTCATCCTAACCGTAAAGGACAGGGCAGGCATTAGGAAGTGGTTTAATTGAAGGTCATAGGGTACAACAGAGCTGGAGCAGAGCCTGGTGATTCCAGGCAGTGACACCTGACTTCACTGAAATGGGCTCTACATAGTCGCAGCTAAAGCGTCAGCACTTCTTTCCAAATTGTCTTTCCCCCTTCAAAACCTGGTTGTGCCAGCATTGTGAGCATTTATTCCAAAGCTGCAGATAGGATGGATATGTCACAGGATGCAGCTGTCTGGATGTGTGGCTGCTCTGCCAGCAGATGTGACACTCCACTCCCAGCTCCCTGTCAACACCAGACCGCCCAGCACAGCATCATGGAAAGGTTTCCTACCTTCAGTTTGTGCAGGGTCAGGTTGCCAAGGTGGCAATACACCTTGCAGTAGTACCGGGCCTCTTCAGAGCACTGCAGCAAGGGGGCACGCAAGGCAAGCGTCTTCAGGTAGCAATCTTCTGCCATCTCATACATATGCAGAAAATAGTAGACTGTAGCCAGGCGGTGGAATGCAACCAGCTCTTGCAGTTGATCTCCTGGAAGAGAGTTGCTGGTACAGTCATCCGGCAGCACGCTCATCCCCAGTCCAGCAGGCTGAGCCACTTGGGGCTGCATTTGGTCAACAGCCTGCGGGGACAGTTATCTTCATAAGGAGACACTGGGTTTGAAAATGGTTAAGAGAAAATAGAGCCATGGGCATGATACCAGGGCTCGACAGATTGCCCAGTGAGTATACCATTCAACCAGGGGATTTCTTGGGTGCTGGAAAGGGCTGTTACAAGAATGGTTCCATCTCAGACATTTATGGTGGCATTTTGCCCATTCAGACTATTTCTGTAATGAGGAGGGATGGGTTTCACAGAATCACAGAATGTTAGGCATTGGAAGGGACCTCAAAAGATCATCCAGTCCAATCCCCCTACTGGAGCACGAACACCCAGATGAGGTTACACAGGAAGGTGTCCAGGCGGGTTTTGAATGTCTCCAGAGAAGGAGACTCCACAACCTCTCTGGGCAGCCTGGTCCAGTGCTCTGTTACCCTCACTAAGAAGAATTTTCTTCTCAAATGTAAGTGGAATCTCCTGTGATCCAGTCTGTGTCCGTTACTCCTTGTCTTATCATTGTTTGTCACCGAGAAGAGCCTGGCTCCATCCTCGTGACACTCACCCTTTATATATTTATAAACATTAATGAGGTCTCCCCTCAGTCTCCTCTAAAAAGACTAAAGAGACCCAGCTGCCTCAGCCTTTCCGCATAAGGGAGATGCTCCACTCCCTTAATCATCTTTGTAGCCCTACGCTGGACTCTTTCAAGCAATTCCCTGTCCTTCTTGAACTGAGGGGCCCAGAACTGGACACAATATTCCAGATGCGGTCTCACCAGGGCAGAGTAGAGGGGGAGGAGAACCTCTCTCGACCTACAACCACCCCCCTCCTGATACACCCCAGGATGCCATTGGCCTTCTGGGTTTATCAGAACTGGCTCAGGGCAGAGAGGAACTGTTCAGTCCTGTGCCTTCATCAGACTCCCTGTGCTCCGGTGTAGCAACAACCCTCTGCTCAGCCAGTCCCACCGCTGCCATGACACAGCACTCCCATGTGGCTGTCATGTAGCTTAAAAAGAGAAGTGGCCTTAAAAAGATGTCACCACTTAGGATAAGAATAGGTCCAGCAGTCTTACGAAAGCAGGAGACCCTCCTTTCACATGCACTCTGTTCTCATCCAGAAAGGCACTCCCATACACAGGAGCCAGTAATTCCCCCTACCCCTGGGTGTGCATCACTCACCGACCCTGATGCTCAGCCTGGCTGCCAGAGTGGCAAACTCCAGTGCCTTCTCGTAGCCCTGCAGGCCGATCTGCAGCTCTGCCAGCTTATTGAACAGCCGTAGCTCTGTCTTACTGGCCTTTAATTTCCTGGCCAAGGGCACTGCACCTCCCTGAGGAGAGAAAACAGTGTTTGCAGGCTGTTCCTGGAGGTATGGGTACAGCACTGCCCACAGAGGGGTGGCAGAGCAGCAGGGGATAGACCAAGCACTTGGCATGGCAGGCAGACGATGGGGTGGTTGAGTGCTGCAGGTTCAGGTTCTGGGTCCTTCTTTTCCTTGACAATGAGTTTCAAATCCCAGAGCGTGGTGCTCAAAACCTGAGCCTCACGTCTCTGCCCATCCTGAGGTGTCTGAAATTCTGACTCTGAGCATGTCCCCAGGAGCAACCAGCTCACACCTAATACTGCCAAGATTTGTAATGTAAGGACCCTGTTCCCACCTCCCAAATGATCTCTGGGGTGAGCTGCAGCCATGGCAAAACATGTCTGTGCTCCAGGCTTGCCCCCTACAGCAATGTTTGCGCTCTGGCACAGCCAGAGCCACCATTTCCACCCTCCATCCCTCCATCTTGGCCATGCAGTGCTACAGCCATCCCTGGGGTAAAGCTCGCCACGGCCATCACCTTGTGGGAACACAAGGACAGAAATGCTCAGAGGAATCAGTACCCTATAAAACTCCACTGCGCGATCTCTACTTCGGCTGCCATTAAAAAAGGTATCACCTGCTTTTTCATAAAGATCCATGGCCAAGGAGAAGTTCTCAGCTTTCAGAGCAGTTTGAATGGCTGCCTAGAAGGAAAAGGAACCAGAGTGAGATTTGGAAAGAGATATTTGCACATAGATGTTGTTGTGATTAAATAAAACCAAGTCATCATCAATGTGAGCCCCGGTGCTCCACACAGCATGGACACGGGTTGCCCAGCAGGTGCGTGGGACTGTGGTGCTGCATTTGCAAGCTCCAAGATTTTATGAGCTGCTCTTCCTCTTTGCAGCTCAGCTGATAAAATAATGCTAGAGATTGAAAGAAGCCAGTAGTCTTCTACTCCAAGAAGTCTCCAAGCACTTCCCTGGCACCTTACCCCTTATCTATGTGTATTTCAATGGCAACTGGTCACCTGGCACCTGCAGCTTCTTTTGGCACTCCTACATCACTTTCTCACTCAATAAATTAACTTACTTTGACCCAAGAATACTCTAAACCCAGTGTATGGAAGGAAAGATAGGAAATCTAGTGCCAGATAGTGCATGAGTGTAAGGCAACAGCTCCTCCTTCCAGCAGCAGCTTTGCACTGCTTGTAATAACTTTTCCTTCCACATCTTGTGACCTCATTAATGTTTATAAATTTATAAAGGGTGAGTGTCAGGAGGAAGGAGCCAGACTCTTCTCAGCGAAAGCCAATGACAGGACAAGGAGCAATGGGTGCAAGCTGGAGCATAGGAGGTTCAATCTGAACATGAGGAAAACCTTTTTTACTGTAAGGGTTACAGAGCCCTGGCCCAGGCTGCCCAGAGAGGTTGTGGAGTCTCCTTCTCTGCAGACATTCAAAACCCGCCTGGATGTGTTCCTGTGTGACCTGGTCTGGGTGATCCTGCTCGGGCAGGGGGATTGGACTGGATGAGCTTTCAAGGTCCCTTCCAATGCCTAAAATTCTGTGATTATGTGATCTTCCAGCTCCAAAAGGCTTCTACCAAGCCACACAGCTGTGACAGTAATGCAGCTAGCCTTTAGGAATGGGACTGCTCCAGCCACCTCTTCTGTACCTGAAAATACATTTCCACCAGCTCATCTTCCTGCATACAATAGTAGAGCTTTCCTGCCTGCAGCCAGGCCTCTGCTGCTTTCACAGTCTCCTCAAGGTCAATGAAGATCCTCAGACTCTGTTTGGTGCAGTTCAGGGACTGTCTCAAAGCCCTGTGATAGTAACAGACAAAAAGTCATCACAGAGAAATCATGGGACAGCCCCAGCAATCAGCTGCAAAGCTACCACAACACCTCCCCACTGGCAATCTTCTTTTGTCCTACAATTGCCAAAGGTTAGAGACAAAGAGACAACCACAGCTCTGAGCAATGTGTCCTGGTAAAATTGTGGAAGACCCAAAGTCACTCCCAGCTATGCATGGGAGGACAGGCAGGGAGTGCTTGCACCTTCGTTTTCTAGAGAGCATCTGGCACCCAAAACCACATCTCTGCCTACTGTTTGTCCCTCGGTGCAGCCAAAGAGACAGATCTTTGTCCCGTGCAAGACCTTATAGCCTGTTTTCAAGTCCCTGGCCACTAGAGGACAAGGGGACAAGCAGCAGGATGAGCCAGCAGGATGGACACGCTGGCTGAAGGGTGCAGCTGTGGCAAAGGGAGTGCCGGGCAGTGCCCAGGGCATGTTTGTTTGCCTGGTGTCTGGGCTCCAGCTGTCCTTGGAGTCCAGGGAATGGGGTGCTTTGTGATCTTAAATAGCACCGTTCACATGACAGGCGTCTGCTTCCTAAATTCCTTCCCTCTGAACTCACTGTGACCTAGCATGTAAAGGTTAACATCCAAGTCAATAACAGCCCCTGCCCATTTGTCCTTCTGAGACATGGGACCTAGCTCTCCACTATTTGACATGTTTACCTTCAAGGACTGAAGAAAGGCTGTGGTCTGTGCAGGTCTCTCTCTCTCCCTTCCCACCTAATCTAAAGCCTCACCTGCATGTGTCAACGGGGAGATTGAAAGGGGAGCTGATACAGGGTTTTAAGTACCTCCCTGGGGAAAATATTCCAGCAGATAGGAGGGGCAGACTCAGTGGCTGGAGACTAAAGCCAGACTTACTCAAATAACAGATAAGGAGCCTATTTTTACTGGTGAATGGTGATTAATCACCAGAACAAGACTCCAAAGGAAGTGATGAATTCCCTGTCGCTGGGTCCCCTCTGATCAAGGCTGGATGTCTCTCTGGAAAACTGTGTTTGGCCAGACCCCAGTTCTGTCCCAGTTAACAGCCTGGCATTTGACTGTCACAGCGCTTTGGTTGACATTGAACTGTTCTCCTTTTTACTGCACAGCGACAGCTCACAAATCTCAGCAGCTCCCTGACGTGCAGCCTGCCCGCAGGGCTGACAGAGCTACCACATACTTTCCCCACCTCTCCTTAGGGACACCCCAGGAAAGCCACTGCTTTGCTTTGGGTGCACAGAGACCCCATCCTAACAGCATCTACACACAGACAGGACTTACTCGGATGTGCCCAAAGCCTGGTAGAGTTGGCTGAGGGTCTGACAGACATTGCCCTCCATCTGTTTGTCCTGGAGCTGTTGTGCCAAAGATACCCAGTGCTCATGGTAGGTAATGCTGGCCTGGAGACTGGGGGACACTTTGCTGTAGAAATGGCAGAGAGACTCAGTGACGTGAAGCTGACCTGCATGGTACAGGGAAAGGAAAAGGACAGGTCAGGGGGCTGCATTAGGGACCTGACAGGGTGCTGCACAGAGGTGAACACTGCCCTGGTACCCGCCAGCAAAGCTGTACTCACTCCTCACATTATGCCACTTCAGGGCAAAAACCAACGCCAGTTCGTAACACAGTTTTCCATCTTCTGTCCTCTGCCTGTTCACCATGGTCTGTGCCAGCCACAGCAGCACCCGCACCAACTCCATCTCCAGGTCTTCGCTGCCCTGGAGCTCAGCGTAGAGCTGGGCCGACTGGAGCAGGTAGAGCTCGGACAGCTGGCTCGCCCCGCGCGAGAGGCTCAGCTGCCCCAGGTTAGCCAGGGTGATAGCCTGGTTCCTCTTGTTCCCGGTCTCCTGGGCTTTGTGCAGGGCCCGGAGGTAGTTCTCTGCAGCCTTCTGCACCTGCCCTTCTCCTTTGAGGGCAATGGCTAGGAGATTGTGCACAGCTCCCCCCTGAGTGACACTGTCCGTCCCATGCAGGGAGCGCAGGAGCTGCCGCATGATGTCTGCAGCTGGGCCCGGCTGGCTGTTCAGGAGATACATCCAGCCCAAAGAGAGGGAGGACTCAAAAGCCTCCTCCTCACCCATCAGTCTGCTAAGGGTTACGGCTGTGGCTGCATAACCAACCGCCCCATCCAACATGCCGTGCTGGAGGTACATCCTGGACAGTATGGCACACAGCGTCCTCTGGACGGGCACACCTCTGCTCTTGCAGGAGAAATGCAATGCTTGCTTAAGATAGAAACAAGCCAGTGCTGGGATGCTGCTCCTCTCCAGTTGGCTTCCCAGGAGTTTGGAAGTATTTTGGAGGATCAAGCCAGCTCTCCAGATGGGTGTTGGTGCCCCCTTGATGCCACTGGGAACAAACAACCTGGCGGAGGCCAGTGCGATATTTGGTAAGTACTTCTTGTCATACAAGTAGCTCAAGATAGGGGTGGCATCCAGTGGCACAGAACTAGCGTCTGGGCTGAGTAAAGTGGTGCTGAGACATTGAAGGTGCTCAGTAAAGGGCAGCACTTCATCATTTTTGCCCAGCTGTAGGAAGAACTTCACAATAAGGAAGCAGACCCGTGCTTCCAAGGGAGTGTTGCCCACAGCAATGGCTTCCCTCAGGACATACATAATGACTTCCAGCTCGTTCTCAGAGCTGAAAGAGCGGCCAGGCAAGCAGACAAGCAAGGCCACCGTTTTTCCCAGCAGGGAGGAGAACTTGTGCTTCATGTTCTGTTTCAAGTAGATGGAGGCAAGGTTCACGTGCAATGCAGCCAGCAGGGGCAGGTCCCCAAAACCCCTGTCCAGGATGCTCATGGCTTCCTCAAAGTAGACCCGAGCCTGGGAGAATTTGACCTTTTTGATGCAAAGCTTACCCAAGAGGAAACAGAGCCTGACATGAGCCCAAACCAAATGAGTCCTCTTGGCCCAGTTCCTGGACGTCTCAAGGTACAAGACCAGTTCATCCTCATCAGAGAAACCATAAAAAGTGGAGTTGAGAAAGGAAAAACTGAGATCATAGAGGCTTTGAAAACTGGGCACATAACTCTCTTGGTTAAGAAAGGTCAATATGGGGTCAAAGACATCAGCATCTTCCATGTGTCCAGCATTCAGGTCAATAAAGAACTTGGGATCATCAAAATCATCTAGCTTCTCCAGGAGAACATCTTCCAATGTAGCAGGGGCTGATTCACTCCCTGGGCTAGACAGCTCGGAGGTGCTAGTCGTAGCCAGGCCATTTATTTCCTCCCAAGACTGAAGCAGCTGGATATCTTTACAGCCATGGAGAACAGCCTCTGGAAGAGACAGGCAAACCATAGTGGTATGTTTCCCCATGTCAAAATTCACCCTCAGAAGTCATCATAGAAGTATCCCGTTCTGTCCCTCCACATACTCACCTGATGGCACTTTCGGGAACATGGCTGTAGGTTCAAAACCATCTACACAGAGAGACAAATAACAAAAAGCCCAAAGCCTTGGTCAGTGTTAATGTGCAGACAGAGTGCTCAAACCTTATAGAGGTCTCCCACTGCTCTGCTAAACCCCAGACTCATATGTGGGAGAGCAGGCTCACTTCTGGCCACAGACACCACATGCAGCTGTAGTTTCAATCCCATCCACAGATGACCAGAGAGAACAGCTTTTAGCTGGTGGTGGGGTGAGTACTGGTAACATTACAATTACCTGAGAACAAGCAGGTCTTATTTTTCACAGGTATAATTTTACCAGCTCTGTCTCTCTTAAGGGCCTTGTTGCACCTATTCAGAGGTTTCAGGTATGTGTGTATCCCTGACAGCCTCTACCCTGGGCTCATTGCCCCTGAGCTGGATGGTCTGGGAGGTCCCCTGAACGCCAGCATGGCCACATTGTTCTTCTAGGTAGTGAGAACCCAAGAAACAGAGACAGAGCAATTAGCTGTGGTCTAAAAGCCACACAGCAATCATAGAGAAACTAAGAGCACCGAGGAACCCTGACCTCCTGGCTCCTACTGTGGACATGGAGATGATGTCACCTGCCACTTTAGCTGTGCATCCTGCTCAGTATACACCCAAAGGTCAGACAGCCGCAGGGGACCTGCTATAGGCAGGGACCTATAGCCAGGATCAGTTGGGAGCAGCATCTGCCAGGGTGAACCACAGCTGAGGAGAACCCTGCAAACTGCAGTGTGGCACAGCCAGGCTCTTGAGGATATCTACAGCATCCACAACCAGGCTGAGCACTGGGCTTGGAGGCTCTCTCAACCACAGTAGTTGTCTCCTCTGCAAAGCCCCGAGCAAGAAGCTCTCTAGACACTGCCCAGCATTGCTGTCCACGGAGAGCCATGGAGCTGGGTGTGTAAGGAGAGGGGAAACTCACCCAGCCGGTACACAGAGGTGATGTCAGTGCGTGCCAGGTCACTGAGGAGGGTGGTGAAGTGCTGCTCGCCACCATTGCAGGGGACGTGCAGGAGTGGGGGTTTTTCTTCTTCGCTCAGAAACACCAAGCCCTTTGCCCTAGGTTGCAGCAGACATTGGGGAAAACAGTCAGTGTCTCTCCATTCCCTGACACTACAGCTGTCCTGTGGGATGGAGGTTGGCTTTCTCATCCCTCTTCTTCCTCCCACCAGAAAAGCTCTGCTCAGATGAATACGGGAGTCTGGACACCGTCCCCATCAGGGCTCTCAGATCCAACTACTCCATGGAGGATCCGATGGTTGCCAGAGGGAGGGACCTATTGGCCTTTTTTGTCACCAGAAGCCCTTTCTGATATCAGAGCATCACCCGATCTCTTCTCTGTTCTCTGTAGTCACAGGGAAAAGTGCCTGAGACTTACCTTGAGTGAGCCTGACTCAGGAAAGCCCAACAGATCTAGCAACAGGTTAAGATCCTGTCCTCCCATATGCACTCTTGGAGAAGAAGCCTTTTTGGATGGGTATTGAACTGAAGCTACATCTTTAAGCCACCAGTAAAGACAACTAGCTGGGTCATCAGAGCGGGGCTGTGTCACCCTCCTTCCCCAGGTAACTCTTGTCTGGGTCCTTGGGAGGGTGTTTAATTCTGGTCAGTGAGGAAACATGCCAGTGGTCATTCTGCCTCAACAACCCACAGAAAGCAAAGGGGCAGAAGGCAACAAAGCACAACCTGGTTTCCTCGGCAGTGATTGCTCTCCCCACCCTTGCCAGACTCACAGCCCCTCAGTCAAAGCTACAAAGACAAGAACATTTCTAGGTGAAACTGTGAAGCCAGACTGTCTGGTACACAGATGTCCTGGGCTGCCTTAGCATAAAGCCAGATGTAGCCCAGGGCCAAATCTGTTCCTCTCCAGGAATCGCCTGAGGCAAGTGAGATATGATTGCTTTGTCTGGGCAGAGACTGCTGCAGCCTGCTGTCAGCACAGCCTGGCCAAGGCTGCTGGACAGACCTCAAATGGATCCTCTATGAAGGCCTTGCCAAGCAAATTACCTGCCCTGGACTCACACATAGCCTTGAGTTGGGACTTGGAGTTTTCCCTTCATTTTCTCCTGAGTTTAAATTAATCTAGATGGTAACTGTAAACTTACAGAGGTTCGCAAGCCTCAGGATTTATGTATCGGGTTGGGACAAAGCCGATGCTCCCACTGCTGAGGGATTTGCCCACAAACCACGGGAGTCCTGGAATGAGGAAGCCGATGACTTCTATGCTGTCTCCTTTGGAGAAACTTAGTTCATCCCATGCTGCTCCTTTGTGGTCCTCTATGGCTGTGCACCTGCCTTTGACTGGGAAACCAAGGCAAACAAGGGCATTTCAGTGTGAGGCCACCATTAGAACTTCCTCACTGGAAAAGACTTGAGCAAGGAGAGATCATGATTTCAGCTTGGGAAGGCTGCCCCTCTGTCTCCTAAGATTTATTGTGGTCTCAGACTCAGCTCTCTGCAGTTTCTTCTTGAGAATAAGATTATAATAAAATATACAAGAAGCATAGATTAACACCACACAGCCAAAGGCTGAAACCTCTGAGAGCTGCAGTATGGAAGGTAGCTGGAAACATGGAGCTTCATAGAAGCTCCACTCTCTCAACTCTCTGCCAGGAGTGAAATCTTCAACAGTGCAAATGTTGAAGTGCACTACACCCTCAAATTCACACCTGCAGTGACATCCCAAGTCCAGCATGCTCTGAACAGTGCCCATGTGTGGGCAGCAATAGCCTGGGGCTAACAGGTGAATGTTGAGCATAGGTTTCATGTGTACACTGGTGGGAGCCTAATTATTTAAAACTTCAGTTTTGAGAGAACTAAAGGAGAGACAAAATTGCAGTAGAACAGAAAAACCCAGAGGCAGAAGGATGCCACCAGCAGCCCTCTGTACCCTGTGTTCTTCAGATCACCCTTCTAAGTACATGCAATTTGCAAGTTCTGTTCTCCATTCAAGAGAGCCCAAAATATTCCCTTAGAGCACCTTGCAACAGAGTGCCATTGTCAGATCAAGATATGGGCCCTTTGCGTTTGCGGCCAAACCCAGGTTTGCAGGAGCCGTGCCCTTCCTGGGGAAAGGCAGCTGCGTTACACAGGCAGCACTCACCAATTGGCTGAGAGCTCGTCCCACTGATCTCCTGGCAGATGCCAAAACTCACAGCATAGTTCTTCAGGAACCACCTGCAAGGCAAAAGGGAACCACACTGGTCCTCTCTGAGCAGCCCTGTCCTCAGACCACCACCAGGGATGGTCTCACACAAGCAGGACAGATGTTCTGTCCCCTGGCAGTGCCAGAGCTGCTGTGGAGTATGGCCAACATAACCAGTCCAGTAATTCCTTGTAATGGTGTTACTGGGCACAGAGGGCAGTGTGCACCTCACGACTGAAGCCTCACAGCACATGGTAAGAGCAAGATAATTTTGGTAGCCTGTAAGGATGATTTCACTGTGTGAGTACAAGAGGAGCTGTGGGGGTCTTTGAGGCTCAGCCAGATGTCCAACATGAGGCCCCACTTTGACTGACATTGCCTAAGTCTCGGGCCACTCTTTTTCTCCCAGTTACTTACCTGTAAATCACAAATAATCTCATGTATGACCTAAATCAATATCATACAAGAATGTTATCTGAAGTACGTCCTTGCTCCGTCCCATTAACAGGTCCTGAGTTGGTTCCAGTGCTTGTTTTCATGCATAATGTGTATCCTCACAAAATTATGTAGCTTTTGTTCATTGCCAGAGGCAAGAGCAGTTTCTCACCCCAGGCTTGGTGCTCATGCATCAGGATCAGGCAAGAGTCTTGGCTTAAGCACTACCAATTGGCCAGTCTACTTACTGGTAAAATGGGTGAGGTATGGGCTCTAGAGCTGTCACAGGCAACAGGCTGCGTTGACCCGTCAGTAAGGACATCCCTTCCCACTTGGACGCCTCTCCAATGTTCTTCACATGGATCAGCTCATTCCTGCAGAGCTGCAGACCTTCCTCTCCCTTCTGCTCCAGCTGCCAGACACCAGGCACTGCTCTGGAAAAAAAGTTACCTGCAGACAGAAAGAGTCATGCCCATGTCAATGGCATCAGTGCAAGCCCAGCACAGGGCTACAGCACAGCCCTGCTGAGATGCTTTTGAGGAAGTCTCTACACATGCAGTTCCTTCTCACCTTCCTGGAGTAGCAGACCCACATATATGGTGGCCAAGCGATCCTCATCCACAGTAACTCTGACCTCTGTGTCCTCCATCAGAGCACAGTTTAGCCAGTACTCTCGGTCAAAAAGAAGCTGCTCCAGGCAGCTGCCCACATACCCTAAGAAACCAGGAGGGAAAGCAGTGTTAGCACCCTCCTTCACTGTGCAGGGTGAAGTGCTCTTTGGATGTCTCCCACTCTTTCATTTGCAAACCCATTTGGCTTCATAAACCTGTAGGTGGACACCAAGGTCCTCTAATTCATATTCTGACCACCCTGTTACATAACTGGGGTTTTTTGTGTCTAATACCTTGTCCAAAAATGCTTCTCATACTGTCTGTTTAGATCTCCCACACCTTGAAAACATTACCTAAAGTCAGATATGTGGAAAACTTCCAGACTTCTTCTAGGGTTTTGAAGGTGAGGAGGAACCGATCCTCCTGTGCTTGCATGCAGACCAGCCTGGCTGACAGCTCCTACACAAAGACAAAGCAAGGTTAAGGGATGGTCCTGGGACTCTAACAGGGGGTCTCCTTTGTCAGCGTGGGAATAATATTAGACCCTGGAATGAGAATAGGCACTCCTCTATTAGCATAGTTGAGACCAAAGCTGTGCAGTTGGTTGCCTAGGGTACAGGGGAGGGATGAGGCAGCCGAGTCCCTCAGTCAGGAGGGATGGAGTACCCGCAGCGACAGCTCCCCATGGTGCAGCAGCAGGAAGGTGAAGAAGCTTCATCTCCTCCTCCAAACCTTTTCCTCCACGGCACACACCAGAACCACTGTGCCAGACACCTGAACCATGGAAGCGTTAACGTTCAGTCAGGACAGGCACTGCTTCCAAACTGCACCTCTGAGGCTGAAAGCAGTAAATGTGCCTCCAGGGAGAAGCTTTCCTTTCACTATTGCTGGCACCAGTATGTCTGCACTGTTCGAGGTCTTTGGGAAGCTTCTGCTGGGAGCCCTGAGGGGCCAGAGCATTAAAAACCAGCAGTGAAGGAGAGTTCAGTCCAGGAAATGTCTCTACACCTGTAGTTATTTTTCTATATGAAGCCAAATACTCTGAGAAACGCTGTGCATGTCCAGAGACGCCACCTCCACCAGGGACCTGAGTCTGGCACACAGCTTTGGTGATCCCACCCCTGTGAAATGCTGGCTATTTAGACTCATGCCCAAGGCTATCTGATTGAACCCCCAGGTAGCTCAGAGCCTCCACTATGAGGCTCCTGACATCAGGCTTAGATTTGCATCTGCCTCTCACCTGGTACCAGTTCATCTCCCCCATCATTCCAATCCCCTACAGAGTCCTCATCTGCAGGAACACACTCTGCAGTGGCCCTGGAGGAACTTCTCTTCCTCGGCTCAGTTTGGCCTCCCATCAGACATCCCATCGCACCAGGAGCCTCCCAGTACACACTCTGACTCTGGAGCTCCTACCTTGAACAGGGCACAGACGTCTCTGTCATCACTCTCCAGGGCCCACAGCTTCTTTCTGGCTGCCTCCTGAAGCTGGGAATTGAGGCACCGGGAGGAGCGGCTCTCAACAGAGAAGAAGAGTGAAATCTCTTGAAAAGGAAATGTGCAGGGTTAAGGGGGAGGAGGAGCTTCATGTCTCACAGAGCTGCCTCTGCTGCACTGCAGCCAGCCCCATCAGTGCCTCCAGCCCTCACCTGGCTGCGATGCTCAAACCACACAAATGCAGCCTGCCATCCCCCTCGATCCACAGAGATGGGTGGCATCCACAACTCAAGGGGTGACAGGGGGTCAGTTAGGTGCGGTGCCAGGCCTTACTGCATTCAGCCACTGGAAATCTGGGTGATGCCAAAGGCAGCATCTTACCTGGTGGAAAGTCCTCCCCAACAGCCAGCAGCACCGAGGAGGTGTCTGGTGAGCCTTCTGCTGCCTCAGTAGTGCGGTTGCTTGGCTCCAATGCCCCAGCCTTACCTAGCAAGGAGGGAGGACACAGAAAAGCTGCTGTCAAATTTTGTGGCAATGGTCTATGATATTCTGACTAACCGTGCCACCTGAAAGCAAAGCCCATGGGTTGCACTGCAGTTCTGGTTAGGGATTGTGTGAATCTGGTATCGCCCTAAAATCATGCTCAAGGGTGGAGGCAAGATCCGTGGGATTGATGTGTCCTAACTACATGATACCCCTTGTGGCTGGCTTCTTTGTGGTGCTGGAGTGACTTTGAAGTGAGTAGACTTTCCCTCCTTGCTCTTGGGACAGGCCTTCTCTGAGCAGATCTGGTAGAAGGATGACCCCATGATAGAGAGACATTTTAGAGGAGACCTCAGAGCGAGAGCACTTCACCAGCACAGGAGAGCCCGCAAAACTCTTTGCTCGTCAATTTGACAGTCAAAATGGGACTATTTCCCCCCCGTCTATTCTGGTTGGTATCTGAAATCCAAGCTACATGCTCTCTGCTTCACATATGGTCAACTATTGCCATAAAGGATTCAGGAACTGAAACTTTAGCTGGTAATTATGTTAATGAAGGCTGAGGCACATAAAAGTCCAGCTTGCTATTCCACAGCTGTATTGGCTATGGAGGGATAACAAGATTAAAATCCAATTTTTGTCGGTAATCAGATTGGACTTGTGAGACAAATATCTACCCAGAGGTCTGGAGCTGGAATGTGCAGCAGCTTTTGTAAGTCACTTCTGTGACCATAACTATACTCTACAGTTCTTTTCATTGAGCCAGCTTTGCTAGTCAGTCAAATAAACTGTTATTTACATGCAGAATTATAATCCTTACTTATAGTTAGCAGTAGAAAAGAATGGCCCAAGGCTGGACACATAATGAGTGAGCTTTTCTTTGAAAGAAAAGGCTCGACATCTCTCAACAGCTGATTTGAACACAACAAAGTACTTCATGCAGCAACTCCGTCCCCTTCCACACATGGGGGAAGCGAAAGGAGACAGAGGCGGAGGTAGATCTGAGCTGGCTCCTGCCTGGGCTGGGCCTGCCCTCCTGTTGCTTCACTCCTCCCTCCCTTCCTCTCCTCTCCACATCCCAGCAGACCCTGATGGTCTCCGCTGGGCTGAGCAGGGCCCAGTACGTAGGGTCCTGAGTACCTGATGCCATGGTCTTCTCTCGCCACCATTTTCCCCGGTGCTCAGCTGTGGTGCGCTGCAGGCGGTCCCAGCGAGGCAGGAGCACAGGTGAGCGGGGACAGCAGGAGTCACACTCTTCGCCTGGGGAACATGGGTGGTGGGGAGAGGTGTTGGGACCCTCGGCAGAATGATTCCCGCCCACGGGGTCTCCATGTGATGTGCCGAAGGAGGCGGCAGGTCGAACACCGCTCACGCCGTCCCAGCCAGCAGCATGACAAAGCATGCTGGTGGGTCTCCGCAGAGCAGGGCAGGGGCCAGGGCTCACTCGGACGAGAGGAGAAATGAGTGGCACTTGCCGATTCAGTGTTTATTTTTGTTTGGGCCAGGCTTAGAAAGGGAACTGGGAGCTTTTTCAAGAGACCAATTGAAACTGCTGGTGGGGAGTCATTCCCAGTCGTGCCAGTGACTCATTTACCTCCCCGGTGCTGAAATATTTTGTAACAGTGGGCAGGAAACAGCCCCAGTCCCAGCCAAGTGCAGGTCCCAGCACTTGAGGCCGTGGTCCTGGCAGCTGGGGCTG